TTCAAGTCAAGTCTTTGTTTTGGCAGGTCAAACAGTGTAAACTTTGCTGGAAGGAACCTTACTCAGAGGGCCAATCACCTGCTTCTCTAGAGTTCTCAAGGTCTCCTGTGAGCGCCAGGTTGAGCTGCAGAAAGCCAGGACCAGCTCACTGAACAGAGAAATGGACATGAAGGTGCCCAGTCTGCAGATGGTTTCCATCGTGAAGAGTGATGGGCCCGAGGGGGACTGGTATGCAGTCATTCATTCAACAATTATGCTCCTACTCTGTGCAGTGTTGGGGATACAGTGCTGAGCACAGACAGACCTAGTTTCTGTCCTTTGCAGATTTCAGTGAAGGATAGGAGGTAGACATTGATGCAACAAGCACACAAGTAAATGTAAGACCATGCAGTGATAAAAACCATGGAGGAAGGGCCCATGCAGGGGCAGAAAACAGAGGAAGGGGCTGGTGGAGCAGCTCTTCTAGCTCAAGGCTGAGTGGTATAGACTGTAGCTACTGCATGATCTGAACATGTCTTAAGGAGGGTATCCCCAAAGCAGGCTCATTGGGAGGTACTGTGGAGTGCTGGTTTATTGTAGTTGCCATGTGTTTATGAGTAATGGAATCCTAGAATTAGAAGGAACTTTGGTCACCTTCTAATTCAATATTCATCTTTCTCAATCCAGGAAACATCTCTACAGCATCCCTAACTGGAGGTTGATCCATTCATTTCCAGACACAGAGAACGGAGTCAAATTCTGCTGTTTTCCATAGGCACTATTTTAGTACGACTTCTTTTTTTTTTTTCTTTTTTATTATACTTTAAGTTCTAGGGTACATGTGCACAACGTGCAGGTTTGTTACATATGTATATGTGTGCCATGTTGGTGTGCTGCACCCATTAACTCATCATTTACATTAGGTATATCTTACTATGCTATCCCTCCCCCTCCCCCCACCTCACAACAGGCCCCAGTGTGTGATGTTCCCCTTCCTGTGTCCAAGTGTTCTCATTGTTCAATTCCCACCTGTGAGTGAGAACATGTGGTGGTTGCTTTTCTGTCCTTGCGATAGTTTGCTCAGAATGATGGTTTCTAGCTGCATCCATGTCCCTACAAAGGACATGAACTCATCCTTTTTTATGACTGCGTAGTATTCCATGGTGTATATGTGCCATATTTTCTTAATCCAGTCTGTCGTTGATGGACATTTAGGTTGGTTCCAAGTCTTTGCTGTTGTGAATAGTGCCGCAATAAACATATGTGTGCATGTGTCTTTAGAGCAGCATGATTTATAATCCTTTGGATATATACCCAGTAATGGGATGGCTGGGTCAAATGGTATTTCTAGTTCAAGATCCTTGAAGAATCGCCGCATTGTTTTCCACAATGGTTGAACTAGTTTACAGTCCCACCAGCAGTGTAAAAGTGTTCCTATTTCTCCACATCCTCTCCAGCACCTGTTGTTTCCTGACTTTAATGATCGCCATTCTAACTGGCGTGAGATGGTATCTCATTGTGGTTTTGATTTGTATTTCTCTGATGGCTAGTGATGATGAGCATTTTTTCTCTTCGGGCACAAGGCAGGAAGTTGGGGACAATATATTTGTCTGCACCAAGGCAGCCTGAGAATAGAGAAGTGAATACTCCTGGGGGTATTCTATATTATTCACTTAATATTCTAAGTGAATAGTCTAGGGGTGCCTGAGACATGGAGCTATGAAAGTACACATTCACAAAAGGACCAGTTTTAAAACTAGATTATCTCTACTATTCAGGAACACCAAGGAAAGGCCACACAAGGGGGACAAAGTGCATCTGAGATCTAGGAAATTTCCCTGTTGGCCACATATTGATAATGATGTATTAAAATCAATTCTATACTGTGGGGTACTTATTTTGACATTAATAGATACTATGGTGGTTTGACATAGTTGATGCCCGGAGGAAAAGCCCCACACTCACCTACATCAAAGTGAAGCCTGAGTCAGCTGCCTCCCCTCCCCCATCCCTTCCAAAGCCAATGGTTGAAAGTCACAGAAGTACCTCTGCTGCCACCTAGTGACGACAATGTGAATACAACTACACAGCCTCCTGGGAAAGAAGTTTTGAAGCATGTTTACCTCTTCCAAAGGAAACCTGTAATTCCCTCCGAGTGCTCTGTTGACTACAATTTTAAAAAATATATATGTATTTTAAAACTCTATAAACTCTTATGCATCTCCCTTTTTAAGAATCTAACCTGTAATGGATGTAGCCTCACTTTCAAGAACCTGAAACCTATGCCCCCAAATCAGGGGGTAGAACAGACAAGCTTAACAGCAGTGCCTAAAAATGCTGCTAAATTTATCTTTAAAATGCCTGTGGTTCCTTAGCACTTGAATTCCGTTGTGCCTCTGGGTATAGTCACCTGGATGTTAGGGGCTGTGAAAATTCAGCCCTCAGTTGGTGGTCAGTGGGTTTTCCCTTTAAGTGGTTTCTGAAAGGATTAAAAAGAAAAAAAAAGCTTGAAATTCTGATGTCTGGATGATGTTTCCAGTTTTGTGGAAGAATAAAAGAAAAGGGACATGACATTCTGGCTCCCTGGGGGCAGTGACTGTGTCTTATTAATCTCTGTGCCCATTGTACCAACACCAGTCAGTCACAGCATGTACTCAGCCAATGCTGATGAACGCAGAGAAGCAAGGGACTGGCATGCTCTTGACCCCTTATAAGGGCTGCGTCGATGGCCAGGGTTCAATGGGAACTTTCTGGTACAGTCTCGCTCTGCCACTCTTTCCAATTAAATGCAGCACAATTGGAGGCCTCACGTTCTCCTAGATGGGTTGAGGTGGGCATTGGGGGCAGAAAGGCTCACATAAGGCCTGAGCATGGAGTTTTCTGCCCAACACGGTTGTGCCATTGCAGCCCACCTCCTCCTCCCCTTTCCTTCCACACCACGGCATGGCAGGTGCAGAAACCATGCTGGGATTGAGGCCCTAGAGGCTGACTACAGGTCTCGGGGGTAAAACATCTGGGCAACACAGCTGAAGATGAGCCAAGTATATGTGTCAGAGTTCTCTAGAGAAACAGAACCAACAGGATAAAGAGATGCAGAGAGAGACAGAGAGAGATTTAAGTAACTAGAGATTTAAGTAACTGACCCATAAAATCATGGAGGCTTGGCAAGTCCAAAATCTGCAAGGTGGTCTGGCACATTGGAGACTCAAGGAAGAGTGGCAGGTGGAGTTCAAAGGCTGGCTGCTGGCAGAATTCCTTTCTGCTCAGGCGAAGTCGGTCTCTGTTCTATGAAGATCTCCAACTGTTGGGATGAGGCCCACCCATATTATGAAGGGTCATTTGCTTTACTCAACATCTACTCATCTAAATGTTAATCTCATTGAAAAAAACTCACAGAAACATCCAGAATACCGTTTGACCAAATGTTTGGACAATGCAGCCTAACCAAGTTAACATGCAAAATTAACTGTCACAGCAAGACACCAGGGAAGCATTAGAAGATGTTAGCAGCTGTCAGTGAAATGAGAGCCCTCAGGTGGACGACAGCCATCCATCGGGCAAGAGCGCGGGGCAGCTGGAAGGGCCCTCGCCTCCCGTTTGCTTTCTGCTCTTCACAGCTGATGGATAGAAGAATTTTCTCAGCACATTTTCCGGGAGGAGTTTAGCACCACCATTTCTTGAAAACAGATGTCTGCAGGGATGTGTGTGTGTGCCTGTGAGTATGAAGTCCAGAGCCTGGGACTGAGAACAGCAAGGGGAACAGGTGGCCACGGGGGAGTTTCCAGATTGCCGATTTAAGATACGCTCCCTGGGCTGCGCTGGTGTTGGTCGTGAGAGCGATCGGGGTTTGTGCAACGTCTGAGCTTTCTATCAACTTATGGTTTAATCAATTTGCTGTTTACTCCAGCTATTTGCAACCTCTCCTCAGTTACTTGGTGTTCAGCAGTGTAATGTATCTTCCTGTGTGAATATGAACATACTTATTTAGTGGAAACAAACTGAAAGGAATTGTGGAGGAAGAATTTTTTGGTTAAGTTTATGTTTTCATGATGTAAAAATTAAAGACATTTGAAGAGTTGAGTATGTCAGTTTTGGGAATGCAAGAGAATGACTTCAGGACTGCCATAATATTTAAAATGGCCTCTACTCTTTCTTTCCACCTAAGTCTCATAGCAAAAGAGGAAATTTACTTCAGTCTCTTACTATCTGTAGCAGAATATTATCATACTGTATTCCTATGTTCACTTATCTGTGCTGGATTGTGAGTCCTTACAGAGAGAAATTGTTATGTGCTATATTCCCAACACCTGCACGTTATAGGTGGCCACTAAATGCTTGATTAATAAATGAATGAGGGAATAATATTGTTTATTATTTTTTGCTGTTATTTATAACCGGGAGTGAGTAGGATTTGGATTATTAAGACCCTGGGAAGCCTCGTAAGAACCTCAGACTCAACGTGTCCAAAAATGTGCTTACCTTGTACCGCTCCCCTCCAACACACCCTTAGCCATCAAGTCAGAAATCCCCTTATCCTTTGGCTGCCCTCCCCCACCCATTTTCCACTTTCAGCCATCAAGTCCTAGGATTCTCCCCTTCAGCAGTTCTTAGTCTTTTCCTGCCCCCACCTCCTTCCTGAACGCCTCACTCACCACCTAGATCCTAAAGCGGCTTCCAGTAGCTCAGCCTCCTCCCATCCAGTTCCATCTCTGCCAGAGATCTTTTAAAAATGCAAATCTCATTATGTCTCTTTCCTGCCTCAAACCTCCCAGTGGTTCTCCCGTCTGTCAGGAGAGGGTACAGACTGTGGCCTGGCTCAGGAAGTTCTTTGAGGTCAACCCCTGCCTACTCATCTTGCTAACTCTTGTGACTCTCTGGCACTGGGCTTTTGCTCCAATCATATAAGCAACTGTATTTCCGTAAAATTGCAATGTTCTTCTCTACCTCCTCGCTTAACTAATTTTCACTTTACTGATCATTTCTTGTTTTACTATCAGCATCTCTTTCTCCTTATTCTTCAGGGAACGTTTCTCTCCACCATCCTGTGCAACACTGTGGGGGTGTCAGTAACACCCTCTGTCCTCTCCTGGCCAAAGGAAAGGGGTGTCATTCAGCCCAGGCCCCTGGATCCTCATCTCAGGATTTGGAAATGTGACTGAAGTGACATAAGGAAAGAAACGAAGTGTGAGGAGCTCATTCAGCCAGCTCTGCAGCTCCAGCTGGGTTACCTGTGAGTCTTGCTGGCCAGATCCCTTGATTTGCTGTGACTCCTGCCTTTGCCGAGTCTGTCTTCATAGATTCATTCTAATGTGGTTCCATTTTGCCTGAGTTGGCCAGAGCCAGATTCTGTGCTGTAATAAAAAAAACCCAAATCAACACACCTCTCACTCTCCACAATGCAGCTTCTGGAAGTTTCCAGATGCCCCAGCCTGATTGAGAATTCTCTCTCCTCTGCTCTCAAAGTCCCTTTGGGTGCTTCTACCAAAGCACTGACAGTGTGATTCTGATTTGATCGCTGGTGTCTGAGAGCTTTGAATGTCTTGCTGGTGCCCAGCACCATTCCTGCCTCATAATTGGCATGTGATAAATGCTTATTACATTCCCTCCTCAAAATAAACACGAAAGACAATCCAGAGAGCACAGCTTCACAGAAATCACAGAAGGAAATTGATGTTTATAGAGACGGAATACAAATTTTTAAAACAATGTTAACGAAAATCTTGAAAATTAGACATTCTCTTGTTTAAACAACGTAAACTGAACAAACTCAGCTTGTTTTGGTGCCTCTGTGAGTACTCTCGGTTGCTCTGGGCTGGTGTGCGATGCTGCCCAGGACTTCCTCACATCCTCATCTTCTGTACCCAGTGGCCCGCAAGCCACGTTACACTTGGTGGGTGAAAAGGTTTGGATTTGTGTCCCCGCCCAAATCTCATGTCAAATTGTAATTCCTAATGTTGGAAGAGGGGCCTGGTGGGAGATGACTGGATCATGAGGGCAGAGTTCCTCCTTGCTGTCCTCTTAGTAGTGAGTTCTCACAAGATCTGGTTGTTTAAAAGTGTGTAGCACCTCCTGCTTCGCTCTCTTCCTCCTGCTCCCACCATGTAGGACCTGGCCTCCTTTCCCTTCGCCTTCCGCCATGATTGAAAGTTTTCAGATGCCTCCCCAGCCATGCTTCCTGTACGGCCTGTGGAACCGTGAGTCAATTAAACCTCTTTTCTTCATAAATCACCCTGGCTCAGGTATGTCCTTATACCGATGTGAGAACGGACTCATACAGTGGGGCTGTAGCCTCTTTCCATGGTATTATCTCGTATTTTTCAATGTTTCTTTGATGCATGTTTTAAGAAATGTGAATTGAAAGCATGTCATGGGACAGGCACTGGATTATGTCTTAGAAATGCCAAGATGCACAGCCACAGTTGTTTTCCCCAGGGTGGTACAGGTGAGGAGGGGAATCAAAAATATAGGCTAGAGATAGGTGCCTGTGCTGGGTGATGGGGGCATGTCGGTAGGGTACCTGATCCACTGGGGCTACAGAAAGTTTTCTGGAGGTGTCACGTGAGATGAGCCTTGGGGAAAATGGGCATTATCCAGGTGAAGAAGGATTTTCTGAGTCTTCTGGACATCTGTGTTACGAGACACCCGGCTTCTCTCTTCTCCTGGGAACACGGATCGTGCTTCTACTGCATGGTGCTCCTGGGAGCTGCTGCATTCATGGCATGCTCTCCCCTGCCCCCACAGCTCACTGGTGTTATGGGTGTGCTAAGTGGCAAAAGTGAGCATTCAGGTGGGCACACTGCCACACTGAGCCTGGAGAATCTTCCCCCAGAATGCTTTGAATTATTAGTGAAACAGAGAGTTTCTTTCTGGCAGTAAGAGCAATAGAATGTGAGATTCACGAGTTGGCCTTCGTGTTTCTCGCCTTTGGAGAAAGCTGTCCCGCAGAGAGGGAGAGTGCAGGCCTCTGAAGAGAGGCACAGATAGAGATGAGGAGTCCTGGGGGGATCTAGACCCTGACTGCAGTTATCCCTGAGACCCAAACACATCCTCGTTCTTCTCACAGCTTGCTGGTCCACCCTTCCCTGGATCCCACAATGCATTCTAATACCTTCCAATAATAATTTTTTTTTCTCTTTTGAGAGAAAGTCTCATCCTGTTGCCCAGGCTGCAGTGGCAGAATCTTGGCTCATTGAAACCTCCACCTGCTGGGTTCAAGTGATTCTTGTGCCTCATCCTCCCGAGTAGTTCGGATTACAGGCATGTGCCACCACGCCTGGCTAATTTTTGTAATTTTAGTAGAGACGAGGTTTCATCATGTTGGCCAGGAATGTCTCAAACTCCTGGCCCCAGTCTCCCAAAGTGCTGGGATTACAGGTGTGAGCCACCACGCCCGGCAAACTCATAATTATTTAATCAAGAATTTATAGTAAATAAATTCCTAAGAAATAGCTTAAGCTATTCTTTGTGGGGTTTCTGTCATCTATAACCAAAAAAAATTTAGATAAATGTAGTGTCCTCATCTCTGGGGCGTCACTTGCCACGAGTCAGTAAGTGCTGGAGGACAAGCTCCCTTGCTTAGAAAACTAGGTTGCATTACAGAGGAATTGGTTTAAGGAACAATGCTTGAGGTTTCTAAGCAGATGGATTTAGAAATCTGAATGATGAAAGCATATTGAGAATATTAAGAACATTGGAGGCAGTAATCATGCAGTCTAGATCATGTAAAGACCATCAAAGGACGGGTTATTAGATGCTAGGTTAGATGCCTGTGCCTTTCTTTCAGTCCACGCACCAACCACCCCGTAGGAACCTCCTTCTCTGCCCTTCTATCTTCTTGAGCCCTGTCACCTCTGTTCTCAGCCTGCCCTTGGCCTTGCATTAGTACATCGACCTCCTTCAGATCAGAGCTGTCTGCTATGAACTCAGTTCTTAGCGTCGACCTATTTCTCTGGTATAGCCGTTAATGACCTGCTTGCATTTTTCCTAGTACAGTCATCCTTTGGTATCCATTGGGGATTGGTTCCAGGACCACCTCATGGATACCAAAATCTGCGGATGCTCAAGTCTCTGATAAAAAATGGCATAGTATGTGCATATAACCTATGTAATCCTCCCATGTATTTTAAATCCTTTCTAGCTTATTTCTAATACTGAATACAGTCCCTCCACATTACTTCATTCATGTGGATTCAGTGGAGTACTCGGCATGCAGTAAATTCAGGTTTTGCTTTTTGGTACTTTGTGGAAACATTGTTTTCTGCATATTTTCTAACTGTGGTTGGTTGAATCTGTGGATGTGGAACCTGCAGATACAGAGGGGCCAACTGCATGTGACGGCTCTCTCAAGTGTGTTTTACCTTTTTGTGTCCAAGTTGAAAACTTGAAGGGCCCCCTGAGCCACAAGAGGGCCCAATCAAGTGAAGGAGTTACTGAAAGACCAGCCAGATGGCACTCATTGGCTGGAAGGCCTGTAATGATTTAAAGGAATTCTTCTTGACTTTTAGGATTTAAAAATGTTCTTCTTCACTTTTAGGATTTAAAGGAATTCTTCTTGACTTTTAGGAATAGCAGAGGCCCACCAGGCCCTGGGCAGAAGGAATGATAATAAAACTTCTGAAAAGTGAAATGGAAAAATAGCTGAAAGGGAAACATTTCAGGTTCCCGACTGTGGGTAAGTATAAGGCAAGGGATGGCGGTGTCTAGGTGACTGCTGGGGACAAATCCTAGTGGGATTGTCATCCAAGTCCTTGATTATCCCAAGACGGGCGTGGTCTGGGAAAAATGAGACTTAGATTAGTCAGTGTTTTGATATTTTTTCCCCATGCATCCCAGAAAGAGCAGCTACTCTCAAAGCTAGAGCTCAGCCCCGAGTCCTAGTTAGTGACAAAGTTCAACAAAGGCAGCGGTCCCAGTCCTGATGGTGGGAATGACGCCCGGTCTAATTTCAATACCAATATCGATGCTAGTTGTCCTTGAACTTTGCCCTCCCACTCCAAGCCTCTCAGGGAAACTACAAGGGTCAGGGAAACAGCAGGTGTTCAAGACACTCATTTCAAAGTGCCAAGTCGACAGGTTTTCAGTGGTGACATTTACCCAGATGGAAGCGTGTGGCCATGGACACCCCGGTTCCTTTTCAGTGTCTTGTAGGAAAACGTTAAAAGGTTTCTCACGTGCTTGGAAAGGTTATCTGGAAAAGCACCTTAATGGATAAAACGAGGAATAACAGAGATACTGACCCAGCCACTTGCCCTCTATTTTCCTCAACACTTTTAAGTTGTGGGCAGTCTTATCTGATTCCAGTACACAGCGAAGTTCATTCTTTTCCTGCTGTAAGAAATTTGGAGGAGAGCGCAGAGACAAGCTATTTTCGATGACAAGCCTTTTAAATATAGAGTCAGCTCTCCCTTTTCTGAGGTGGGAGGAGCCCAGGCTGGACTATTCTCGGGCTAGAGTGCAAATGCAGGCTTTGTGCTCATTCACCCCTTGGTTGTCAGCAGCCTTGACCTCCAACCCAGAAGCCAGGGGCCTGCCACAGGAAAGCAGGGAGGTCTCCTCTTGGGTGACGGCCCTCAGCAGCACTGAGCAGTGGCAAGGCTGGAAGACGGCAGCTGGAGGGAAACAGAGGCAGCTGAAACAGCCTGGGTGTCTCTCAAATGGAATAAATCCTGGAATTAATGAAATGTTGGTGCTAGAATAGGTTATAAAAAGCTGAATAATGCTGAAATGCTGAATAATAAGTGATCACCACGAAAAAAGTCAGTAAAACAGATTCCAAAAGTCTCCACAGAAGCCTTAAACGAGGTGGGACAGACAGTGTGAGCTCATCCTCACCAAGGGTCTGCAGCCTGAATCGGGTTGAAAGAAAATCGGTCTCCACGCAGCTCTGGCTGCGGGAAGCCGGATAGTTCAATATTGATGAAATCTAGACGTAATGGCTCCAAGTGACAAAATCCCTTCTAGTTTCCAAGGGAAAGGGAAACTCCTTCACTTGACTGAGCCCTCTTGTGGCTCAGGGGGCCCTTCTCTCAGCTTGGACACAAAAAGGCAAAACACACTTCAGAGAGTCGTCATATGCCGTCAGTCATACGCTCCGAGTGACAAAATCCCTTCTAATTTCCAAGCAGGCCATGAGAAAATCTATAGAACATGTTTCCAGTACAGATAAGGGCATATTTCAAAATTATTATTTAAATTACAGACAGGCTTATCTCTTGCAATGTTGAGACTGGAGTGTAGAGGGTGCAGGAACATAAAAGGCCAGAGGCAGCTGTGGAAGCTGCCTTCATTGCAGGGGATAACCCTCTGTGTCCTGGGGTTTATCTATCAAGAATGGCAGGTGACTGCCTGCATCTCTGCAGGCTCGGGTGCGATTGGAGGCTTTGTGCCTGCTCACCCTTGGTTGTGAGCAGCCTGGACCTCCAACCTGGAAACCAGTGGGGCTGCAACAAATGACATGAGAGCCATTCGGGAGACACCGCACCTGGGAAGGAGGCTGAGAGAGCAACAGTGGGGACCCAGGGTCCCCGAATCCTCAGACCAGAAGCCAACTCAATCCACAGGCCTTCAGCAGAGTTATCCAGGGAGAATGCATGAGTGGATGCCCGAGGCCAAATCTCCGTTTATTACTTTGTGGCTTTGGCTCCAACCCTGTGAGTAGCCCCTGGCCTGGGCCTGCTGAGTCCCAGTCAGTAATTGTGAGTCCCAGTCAACAACTCAGCAAATCGGCTTTTAATGAATCTGGCCTTTGGTGAGTTTGGTCGTTTGGTAGATTGGTTTTTGAAGCATTGATTTTTGGAGGAATGAGCAGGAACCCTCCAGGGCCTGCCTCACAGTCCAGTGAACGCAGTTGAGGTAGGAAAGGGTAGATGGACAGAGCAGCGCTGCTCAGCTTCTGTGAGCTGGCATTGAAAAGTGCTGTGTGGCAGGTGGGCAGAATTTTCCCGAACCCTCTGTGCCCTGCGATCTTCCACCCCCGAGGCAGGGCTGGGCTGCTGCACGAGTCAGTGGGCAAATCTGCAGGTGAGAAGACAGCTTTTGGGAAATGACACCATGAGGGTGTTGGGGACAAGAAGAAAAGAGACTGTTTTGAATGGCCACTGGGAGTGGGAGGGTTCAGACCGAGCACGCTGTGTCTCCACTGCTGTGGTGGGTATGTGGTGAGTCACCTGTGGCCCTGCTCCACATCCGTGCATTTGCTGTCCTTTGCTTGACAAGACCATCATTATCTGAGATAATGTGGCTGCCCAAGCTTCCCCTAAGGGAAAAGCCTCCTCTGGCCGGATGGGCCCTGCCAGGCTTGTCTGAGCTCCCTGACTGCTGTCTGTGTGGGCTCCCACTAGCTGGCCTTGGTATTGATTCTGCTGCTCCACCTGCCATCACTGCCATGTATTCCTACGTGGATGTTTGCCACTGGATCGCCTCTTCACCTACCAGTTCTCTTCTATCTGTTCTGGGGTTTGTTGCTGTCATTTTCTTTGCAAAGAGATGTTTTGTATTCCCAAAAGCCTACATTTCCCCCACTCATTCCTCCTCTCATCCGGTAAAGTTCAGACACTTCCAGTTAAAAGATTCTCCCGCTTATACAGCTGATGAGTTGATGACGGGCAGGAAGATGGCTTTCTCTGTTCCTCTTCTTTCTCCTTTGTAAAATCATGGCAATAGATTCATATCATCTTTACATTCCTGTTTTTGTTTTATAGTCATCCCGGTATCCAGAGGGGACTGGTCCCAGGACCTTCAGGATAGCAATATCTGCTGATGCTCAAGTCCCTGATACAAAATGATGTTGCATGTGCAGATAACCTGTGTGCATCCTCTCTTATGTTGCGTGCACCTCTAGATTACCTATAATACTTAATACAACATAATGCTATGGAAGTATTGTTTTCTATTTGCTTTTTTTTTTTTTTTTGAGACAGAGCCTTGCTTTTTCACCAGTCTGGAGTGCAGTGGTGCAATTTTGGCTCACTGCAACCTCTGCCTCCTGGGTTCAAGCGATTCTCCTGCCCCAGCCTCCTGAGTAGCTGGGAATGCAGGCACCTGCCACCACACCTGGCTAATTTTTGTATTTTCAGTAGTGATGGGGTTTTGCCATTTTGGAAAGGCTGGTCTCGAACTCCTGACCTCATGTGATCCGCCCGCCTCAGCCTCTCAAATTGCTGGGATTACAGGTTTGGGCCACCGCACCCAGCCTGCATCATTTTTTAGTGTTGTATTATTTTTATTCTTTGAATATTTTTGATCTGGGGTTGGTGGAACCTGCGGATGCACAAGCCGTGGATGCACAACCCAAGGATAGAGAGAGCCAACGGTGCCTTTGTTTTTAAGCGGCTTCATGGAAGTGCGATGGGCTGTTTTAACCAGACTGCCTTGGATGAGGTATGATGCCAGACACAGATTATGGGAAAGGAAACAGAAAGTGTTACAGGTTGTATGAGCACAGGAGGGCTGCCTGAGGGAAGCACTGGGGTTGGTCAGAAGGCAGAAAGGGGGGGGCTGTGAGCAAGCACCCTTCTTGTGGTTTCTCCTGGAAGGAACAGGCGAGGCAGGGCTAGCATGCTTAGGATTGACCAGTTGGAATAATTTCAGGGCTCTGTGGTATATGGGCTATCCTTGGTTGTCTGGTACTCAGCCTTGGGTTAATTAGGGAAGAGGAATAGTGGCCTGGAGGGTGAGAGCCCATTAAGGGAGTTGGTTGGGGTGTGGAATTAAATGAGCTGCTCAAGAAAGGGAAATGACAGGCCTCTAGCTAGGGCCTAAAAACTGGATCAAGGGCCAGGCGTGGTGGCTCACGCCTGTAATTTCAACACTTTGGGAGGTTGAGGCGGGCGGATCACGAGGTCAAGAGATTGAGACCATCCTGGTCAACATGGTGAAACCCTGTCTCTCCTAAAAATTCAAAAATTAGCTTGACGTGGTGGCACGTGTCTGTAGTTCCAAGTATTCGGGAGGCTGAGGCAGGAAAATCTCTTGAACCTGGGAGGTGGAGGTTGTGGTGAGCCAAGATCATGCCACTGCACTCCAGTCTGGAGTTGTCTCAAACAAAACAAAACAAAACAAAACAGCAACAACAAAAAAACCCAAAAAACAAAAAACAACAAAACATAAAACCCAAAAAACTGGATAGCATTTTAAAAGACTGAATGACATTAACATACAGTAAACTACATCTTTAAATTGTACAATTCAGTGATGTTTATTTCTGTAAACACCTGTGAAACCATCACCACAACCAAGATAATGAACACATCCATCACCCCCAAAGGTTTCCTCGTTCCTCCTGGGAATATTCCCTCCCCAAGCAACTACTGGTCAGCCCTCTATCACTTTAGATGAGTTGGCATTTTCTAATTTTTTTTTTTTTCTTTTTGAGACAGAATCTCACTGTGTCACCCAGGCTTGAGTGCAGTGGCACAATCTCGGCTCACTGCAGCCTCGACCTTCCAGGTTCAAGCGATTCTCGTGCCTCAGCCATCTGAGTAGCTGGGACTACAAGTGTGTTCCACCATGCCTGGCTAATTTTTATATTTTAGTAGAGATGGGGTTTTACCATTTTGGCTAGACTGGTCTCGAACTCCTGTCCTTAAGTGACCCTCCAATCTCAGCCTTCAAAAATGCTGGGATTACAGGCATGAGCCACCGTGCCTGGCCCCTAAAATTTTGTATGAATGAAATAATACAGCATGTAGCCTCTTTTGTTTGGCTTCTTTCACTCAGCATTATGATTTTGAGATTCTACTATATTTTTACATGTATCAATAATTTATTTCTTTTTATTGTTGAGTAATATTCATTTATGGATACTATACTGCTGTGTGTTTATCCATCAAACTATTGATGAACATTTGGGTTGTTTTCAGTTTTGGCTGTTATTACAAATAAAGTTGCTATGAACATTCATGTACACTTGTGCATAGGTTGAATGGCTGGGTTATATGGTATGTGTATGTTTCATCTTTTTAGAAAAAAACTGTCTTCCAAAGTGGTTGTACCATATTACATTCTCACCAACATTGTATAGGAACTTTAGTTGCCCATGTTTTTGCCATCACTTAGTATGGTTAGTCTTTTATCCATTCTAGTGGGAGTAAAGTGGCATCTTATTGTAGTTTTAATATGCAGTTGCCTAATGACTTTGGATAATGATCATGTTTTTAATGTGTTTATTTGTCATCAATCTACTTTGTTGAAGTGTATGTTCAAATCTTTTGGGTATTTTTTTCTTATTGATTTACTTTAATTCTTATTATTGAGTTGTAAGGGCTCTTTATATAATCTAGATACAAGTCCTTTGATGCATATGTTTTGTAAATATTTTCTCACAATCTCTGTCTTTTTTACTTTTATATTCATAACCTTTAGAAGGGCAAACATTTTAACTTTGATGATGTCAAACTTGTTTTCTGTTTCATACTTTGTGCTTGTTGTTTCATATTTAAGAAACCTTTGCCAAAACCAAGGTCAGTAAGGTTTTCTCTTCTATTTTCTTCTAGAAATTTTATAGTTTTAACTCTGACATTTAGGTGTACAAATGGGTCCATGCTCCATTTCCAGTTAATTTTTGCATACGGTATCAGGTAAAGGTTGATTCTTTGGCATGTGACTATCTCATTGTTCTAGCACCATATGTTGAAAAGACTATTCTTTCCTCATTGAATTTCCTTGGTACTATTGTCAAAGTCATTTTGACAATTAACCGTATATATCTTAATCTATTTCTGAGATCCTCTGTTCTAGTCATGAGTTTGTCTGTCTTTATATTAAAACTACAATATCTTCATTATTGTATATTTATAATAAGGCTTGAAATTAGGTAGAATGAGTCCTCTAACTTGGTTCTTTCTTGGTAAAATTGTTTTGACTGTTCTACATCATAATCCTTGGATCCATTGTTTTAATGACCGAGGGATTGCAATATTTTTTAATGTGTATTAAATCCCATCAGGATTAGCCCTAACCACTAGCTCTTAACCACTCTGAACAAGCGGCTGATCCTGACTGGGCAGAGGTGTCTCCCAACCCCATTTCCGGCTCTTACCCACTCAACTCATGCATTGCCTGGATTTGCCTGTCCCCAGGTGGGGTCTGGGGAAGCAGCCCTTAGGGCAGAGCAGAGTGTGTAGAAGGTGCAAGGAAAGAAGCAGCCTGCTCTTTTCTCATGGGGAGTTTTGGACCGGGAGATGCCTGCTGAGTAGCCTGTGTGCCAGCTTCCAAAAGGAAAGATACAGTCAAATTCTGCCTCGAGTTCTCAAGCTCTGAACGTTTCAGACATAAAAACAGTTGTTTTGAGAACGACGGTGAATCACAGGGGGAAAGGGTGGGAGAAGTTCCCATGGCTTTTCTTTGAAATTTCTTCACAGCAGCATGACAGCATTTATATAAAAAGAGAGTTTATTGGCAGGTTCTGGAAGAGAGGGGGAAAAACAATGTTGTTATTTCAGGCTGCCAGTGATCTCACATGTATCTGGTGTCTTTTCTTCAAGGATTACAAAATACTGTACAAATGTTACATTTCCAGACAGTTATTAATCCTTCCAGCACCCCTGTGAAATGAAGAATATGGTCTGGTTTGGATGAATGCAAGCGGCCTCCCACCTAGGCTCACTCATCCCCAAACTGAACAATGAATGATGGTGGAATTCATTCGTACGTGCTCATGGGCGATTGATGAGCTCTCCAGAGCTCTTACCCAAGAACACCTGTCATCCACATGGGTCTGAATCCTGGTCATCCAGAAGGCTCTTGTTAACAGGCACACAGGTATTTCTCTTACAAACTTAAACATTTTTTGAGAAAGACATCCTGCAACTTCTGTAGGTAATCCTGTTCAGATAGAAATATTTGTTTTTTTCCCTAAAAAAACTCTTTTTCTTTTATGTACAGCTATGCACCTATATGTAAATTTAATACATTTATAAATTGTCTCTCAGTAGAAAGGAGGAGTAATTCAATTATTTTCATTATAAAAGCCACAGGCCCAGCTGGGGGGCTCATGCCTGTAATTCCAGCACTCCGGGAAGCCAAGGCAGGAGGATGGCTTGAACCCAGGTGTTCAAGACCAGCCTGGGCAATATAGTGAGACCTTGTCTCTACAAAAACCTTAAATAATTAGCTTTGTGGGTGGTGTGTGCCTGTACTCATAGAAATTAGGAGGCTGAGGCAGGAGGATTGCTTGAGCCTGAGGGGTAGAGGTTGCAGTGAGCCCAGAATGTGCCACTGCACTACAGCCTGGGCAACAGAGTGGGACATTGTCTCATTAAATAAATAAATAAATAAAATAGCTATATAAAAGCCATAGAATTATAGGGCAAAAGGGAAATTTGAAATCATCTTATTTTATTTTGTTTGGTGAGTGAGGCCATTGATACACAGATGAGTGGCACCTGTGGCCCATAAACTGAAAGTCAGGTCTAGAGCCAAGCTTTCTGTAGTCCCTGTCTAGAGCTCTTTCCACTGCGTGGCATAGACACAGCACACATACCCCAACTTCCCACATTCCTGTCCATGGCAGACATCCACAGTCAATCCCAGCACGGCCTCCGCTCAAGGTCGCTTCTTCCTTCAGAGATCCAGGCAGCCATTTACCTCAGTGGGAGTCCACACAAGCAGAGTGGCTGTGGTGAGCACAGGCTTTAGGGCCAGATAGACAGAGTGGAATCCTGTGTTATGTCATTAATCACTGGGGAATTAGACAAAACTACTCAATCTTTGTGCGTCTCAGTTTCCTCATTTATGAAATGGGGGATTGTAAACCTTGAAAGAGCCATTCCTTCAAGATGAATCTTGAGTGGGTGACTGGGCCTAAATTCAGTAAGAGCCAAGTGACCATTTGCTGACCAGAGGTCACATATGTGTTCTGAGTTCCATGAAAACCTGCATGTCTGCATAACTTTGGGACTTTCATAGTTGCCTGTTCCTATTTATGTTGCCTGAACCAACCAGTAGGCTGTGACCTACATCAACCAATCAGAGCCAGTAAACGTCAAACAATCGTAACTACACAAATTTAAATGTTTCATGTGTATATGTGGACTACAGCGGGAACCTGGGTCGGAACGTCCTCCATGAAAGTCAAATTTCCCATTGTTCTCTGGACCGCACCTGCATTTTACATGAAAGCTGTTTGGTATGAAAACTGTTTACTGGAATAAAGTCTCTTTCCTCTAAATTCCTTTTCAGAGAGCTTTGGTTCACATTCTTTGGAATCAGAAGTGGAATTCGAGCAACACCAATTCTTCTCTTGACGCTGTCCTGAACCAACACATTGAGATCTGCAAGGGTCCTTTGAGTTCAGTTGTCTTCTCAGAGATGCCAGGAAGCCTCAGGTAAGCCCTTGAATTCAGACCTCCCACGCCTTTTTTTTTTTTTTTTTTTTTTTTGAGACAGAGTTTCACTCTTGTTGCCCAGGCTGGAGTGCAGTCGCACGATCTCGGCTCACTGCAACCTCCGCCTCCTAGGTTCAAGTGATTCTTGTGCCTCAGCCTCCAAAGTAGCTGGGATTACAGGCATGCGCCACCATGCCCAGCTAACTTTTGTATTTTTAGTAGAGATGGGGTTTCACCATGTTGGTCAGGCTGGTCTCAAACTCCTGACCTCAGGTGATCCACCTGCCTTGGCTTCCCGAAGTGCTGGGATTACAGGCGTGAACCGCTGTGCCTGGCTCCTCCCATGCTTTTGATCTAAGCCTCAGAGCCTTTATTAAACCTCCTCAGCCAGTCTTCTTCATCTGGATCCTGAAACAGACCTCCCCGGGAAGGGGGGGCCTCTCCATCTGGTTTGCCTAAGTGGCCTCTTCATAAGGTTGCAGACCCAGCTGTTCCATCAGGTTTTGTGAGGACACTCTAAGGTGCACTAGAGGGATGGCTTCATCAGGTTAGTGCAATGCGTAACCCGTGATTTCTGTCTTTCCCTGCTGATCGGCTGCCCTCTGGCACTCCAGCTGGCTTTATGAGCAAAAATTATGGTCCAGAGAGTTGTAATTTTCTAGGTCTCTGGACAAAAATTACCTGAGATGATTTAAAAACTTTATTGGCCAAGATGGGGTTCCTTTGAAATTCGAAAACTTGCCTGTCTGTGCTCACAATTAGAACAAAGAAAATACGGAACTTCCCAGAGACAATGAAAAGCCTTTTGCAGTTGGGACTTTTAAAGTTTCGAATAAAATCAAGAGCTACTGTGCTTCCCTTAAAGAAAGTAATTCCAAATTAGGCAAACATCTTAATGACTTAAAAAGAGATTAGCACGTGGGAGACTGAAAGTAAAGCTGCAGAAAAGCCTCTCTAAGACCGTTCCGCTAGCTCACCTTTCCTGTCACCTCGTCTGTCTTCGGCATCTTTTACAGGGGCCTCTGCTCTGTCTTTCACTCCCTCCTTCCTCTCACACTTTCTGAATTCCTCTTTTTCTCTTCTGACATTTCCACCGCCTCCAGACTCAGCCCCCCCCTTTATTTTTTATTTTATTTTTTATTTTTTTTTTGAGACGGAGTCTCACTCTGTCGCCCAGGCTGGAGTGCAGTGGCCGGATCTCAGCTCACTGCAAGCTCCGCCTCCCGGGTTTAGCCATTCTCCTGCCTCAGCCTCCCGAGTAGCTGGGACTACAGGCGCCCGCCACCTCGCCCGGCTAGTTTTTTGTATTTTTAGTAGAGACTGGGTTTCACTGTGTTAGCCAGGATGGTCTCGATCTTCTGACCTCGTGATCCACCTGTCTCGGCCTCCCAAAGTGCTGGGATTACAGGCTTGAGCCACTGCGCCCAGCCAGACTCAGCCCCATTTAAGGCCCAAACAATGAGGAGTAGAGGTCGGCAAATTCCATGCTCCTTAGTCGGTGTCAGAACTTCTGGCCCTAGTAAAACATTTCCCTAGTCCCTTGAAGACTAACTTCCTTGAATTTGAGTAACATTGTAGCCTAATCGTCAGGGCTTATCAATCTTTATCAGCTGTTACCTGCTGAATGGGAAAGACCCTTTGAGAACTTTAAGCAGACTGGTGCCCAAGGGTTTGATAAGGCACAGAAACAGGATACCAAATTACTAAAAGCCATTCCCCTACTTTTTCCCCATCAGATAAACTGGAAAGTATAACAGTGTTATACACACAAAAACGATGACACTGTCCTTGATTATTTTGATAAATTTGAACAGACTTTCCAACAAAATTTGGAGATCAAATATTTAAATGACGAAACAATTTATTTAATTCCATTTTTGCGTGTGTGGCTGGTCTTTCGGAAGCCCTCAGTACCCTAGTAAAACATCATGACCTTAACTGGGCTGTAAAGTAACCTTATGAAATGGCCCCTTTGGCCAATTCATTATCCAAAACTTTAGAAAAGACTAAATCTAGGGCTACTTGAGCATTAGACTGTCAACCGCTAAGTTAATGGTCCTTCAGTTACAACAGTTAGCAAGGGACACCTCAAACATGCCCATTCCTCAAAACCAAAATTAGAAAAAAAAAAAAGTGGGTTTTCAGAAGATGTTCCAGACATTTTAAGAAGGATTGCCCCAAATACAAATGATGGCTGCAATTAAATCTTGATAAAGTCGCTGGTCCTCTACCCTCAAGCAGGACAAGGGGTGCTCCAGGGACATTCTGGGAATAGAGCTCTAGTTGACACTGAGCCACCCTATCCTTAACCCTGATACTCTGGAGTGTCCCTGCCAGAGTTCTGAACTCATCTGGATGGTTGCAGGAGCCGACAAACCTGTGATGGTTCCTAAATCTCTATCCCTCCAACTGGGGGGTCCTGACTGACAATCATTGATTTTCGTGTGTTCCATCGGCTCCCATACAATACACCTCCTGGAAAGGAACTCCTTAGAAGCCTATCAAGCCCACGTTTCCTTGTCTTGAACCAGGGGAATAACGCTTGAATTGACAGCCCTGAGCTCAGCAGTAGAGTTAGAAAATGGAGACTAAGTTAGAAATCACATAACTAAATTGGTCTCCAGGATATGATATTTTGGCCTTCAGCTGGTTATTTTGAAAAGATTTCTAAATTTTCTCTAGGCTCATCTTTACTTTTCCTCATAAAATCCTGTGATAAATTCCTATAATTTTATGTTTTCTTGGAACCCGTTGTGATCCTCCTTGAAAAAGCTTAGATTCTCTCAGCTATTTGACATGTAAATTGCTACCCTGTTTTCTCTAAAACTCAGTGAGGGCTTTGGCCACGTGAGACATAAATTTTAACCTGTTCCATTTACAGAGACACAGTTTGAATCCAACCATCCTTTTAAACAAGTAAGTTACACCTAACACATGGCTAAAATTTTAAAATTAAAGCTATACGATATTTATTTGTCTCCGTATATATTTTTATGTGTAGAGGTGTATGCACGTCTTTTCGTATATTGTCTACATAATACCAAGTTGATTTTGTTTGTTCGTTTTTGTTGAGCCACCGTGCCTGGCCCCAAATTGACTTAAATAAATGTGAGTATTCATAAATTAAGTAAATAAATCCAAATGCTTTTCAAGTTTATGTGACTTTAGTCAACTTTTGGCAGCTAACACTAATTTAATACTGTTTGCTTAATAAAAGTAACCAGATCTTCTGAGTTATCAGCAAAATATGCGTGTATTTAACGTTAAGATTCTTGCTTTCATGATATGTGCCTAACAGACAAGTAATATAAAAATAGTTAATAGAAAATTTAACTTGAGATGATGGCTAGAATTGTCTAATGTCTCATGGAATTTTCCAAATTGTTAAGAATGAATACATTAAGGCTGGGTGCGGTGGCTCACGCCTGTAATGCCTGCACTTTGGGAGGCTGAGGCAGGCGGATCATGAGGTCAGGAGCTCTAGACCAGCCTGACCAACGTGGTGAGACCCTGTCTCTACTAAAAATACAAAAATTAGCCAGGCGTGGTGGCGGGCACCCGTAGTCCCAGCTACCAGGAGGCTGAGGCAGGAAAATCAATTGAACCCAGGAGGTGGAGGTTGCAGTGAACTAAGATTGCGCCACTGCACTCCAGCCTGGACAACAGAGCGAAACTCTATCTCAAAAAAAAAAAAAAAAAAAAAAATTGCAAGAGGTTTTGATTTTTAATTCTGAAATCTATTTTTTAACAGCCACCCTCTGAACTACAACAGTTTCTATTCCTGCCACATTTCTTCCTGAGATCTATCTAATTTCTCAAGTTTCAGGTTAGAAATGCAGCTCTTCGGCTGGGTGCAGTGGCTCACACCTGTAATCCCCGCATTTTGGGAGACCAAGGCGAGCCGATCACCTGAGGTCAGGAGTTCGAGACCAGCCTGGCCAACATGGTGAAACCCTGCCTCCACTAAAAATACAAAAATTAGCCGGGTATGGGGGTGTGCACCTGTAATCCCAGCTACTCAGGAGGCTGCGGCAGGAGAATCACTTGAACCTGAGAGGTGGAGGTTGCAGTGAGGCGAGATTGCGCCATTACAGTCCCACCTGGGCGACAGAGCAAGACTCCGTCTCAAAAAAAACCAAAAAACAAAAAACAAAAAGAAATGCATTTCTTCTTTCTAACCTTGAAAAGGTCTATCTTTTTCCTTGGCTGGGGTAATATCTTTTTTCTTCAACCTTTTCTTCGGCTACTGTAACTTTTTTTCTCCCGTTCTAACTCTGCTGTTATGGCCTGATGCTGAAATGTTTACCTTGAAGGTCTAGAGAAGCAATGTTCCCTTCAGTGTAACTTGATTCTGTATTCTTGGGTTTTCTTGATGTGTCTGAGTTGTTCCATGTAGCCAGGAATCTTCCCATGCTGTTACTAAGAGCCATGAGTTTCCCTGCTCAAGGTACTAGTTTTCTTGTTTACATCTTTCTATAATATGAGTACATTCTTAACCCTGGACATACTCTTCCTGTGTCTGATTAAATTCAAATACCAGGTTAACTTTCAGTTTATCTAAAAAACCTACAGGAGGTTTTTTCTTTACCTTTTAGGTAACTGACCTAGAAAACAAAGACTCTGTGTTTACTAAGATAATTTCCTGTGTTTTATGTTATCTTTATTGAATTTTTGGTTACTTAGGAAAACTAATAGCTACTTGGGAGGCTGAGGCAGGAGGATCACTTGAGCCTAGGAGTTTGAGGCTGCAGCAAACACACCACTGTACTCCAGCCTGGGTGACAGATCGAGACCCTGTCTCTAAAAAAAAAGGAAAACTGGCCAGGTACGGTGGCTCACTCCTGGAATCCCAGCACTTTAGGAGGCTGAGGCAGGTGGATCACTTGCGGTCAGGAGTTCGAGACTGGCCTGGCCAACATGGCGAAACCCCGTCTCTACTAAAAATACAAAAATTAGCTGGGCATGGTGGCACACATTTATAATTCCAGCTATTTGGGAGGCTGAGCTCAGCAGGAGAATCGCTTGAACCCGGGAGGTGGAGGTTGCAGTGAGCCAAGATCATGCCATTGCACTCCGGCCTGGGCTACAACAATGAAACACTGAAGCTCTGTCTCAAAAAAAAAAGAAAACTGAGCTTTAAAAGGTTAGAGTTTTTATATCCATGTAACATTCTTTATTGCTTTTTAAGTCTTTTTATTATCACTCTGGTTAAATGAATAACTACTATTTAGTAGTGACTTGTGATTCTCTTTTGATCAAGTATTTTGAACCTTTTTACATATTTGGTGGGTTTCCCCCAGGAACAAGATTCTAAATTAAGTATTTTTGACCTAAAATTAACTTTAGGATTTCCCAGTAGGATCTCTGGAGAGCATCAAATAATGTATTTTTCATCTTGTAGAGATATTAAATGATTAGACTTATTGGGCAAGTCACGTGGGAAGCATTATCAAACAAGAAATAGTGTTCAATTTCCTTTAAGTTATATTTGTGTAATGCATTATTAATATATGTTCCAAAATCGTATGTGATTCCTAAGATTCTGATCTGTTATATGTACTATCAGTCATGATTTTGATTATTATTAGCTCGTATGTGACAGAAATAATCAAATTTCTTTCTCAATTGCATCTTTATGGCCATTCTAAGTCTTATGTAATCCACTGACAATTACGGTTTTACTTTTATTCTTCTAAAAAAGCTATTTATAATCAGTTACAGTCCAAAAATTTGCTGCTTCATCAAGGAAATTCATGGAAAAGACACCAAGTTAAGAATTCCCTCCAGCCTCACTGGAAGGGGACCCTATCAGGTACTTTTAACCAGCCTGTGTGCTGCTAAATTACAGGGCATTGAGTCATGGATCCATATTTCTCATTTAAAAAGAAGGCTCTTGATCCTTCTACCAAGTGAACCTCCCAACTGGTCACTGATATCAAACTCAAGTTAGTCAAACTACAGCCACCGGGACAAGAAGACAACATCTGAGGTAGACTGCTTTCTCCCAAGATACCAGAGCAGGCCTGTATAACCTCTTTCTTATCTTGAGCTAACATCCTAGTCCTTATGTTTACTTTGTAATTATTTTAATTATCACAGCTTTGAGAATCTTGTGCATCCTGGGTGTCTTATGCCACTCTGGGGTAATTCCATATATTCCACTGTTTAGACACACCATGGGACTCATTGCCTTGCTGGACTCTTTATAATCCCCTCTTTTTACACCATGCCTTACTTCTTCCTTTTCCTTTCTTTCTTGACTCTGCTTTCCAGTTCTTCCTACTCATGGGAAGATAATGCCTAGATACAGCAATCCCAATCCCTTGCCTCTGCAGGCAAAAGCTAACTGAGCATTGGATACGCCGCCTTTCCCCCTGCTGAATTCATTGGAGGAAACAGGAATCCTATAATTATCCTAGTGACCAGCTTCCTTAATGTAGTGCTCAGTTGCTTGGTACCCCTGTTTGATCCACTGACTGTTGACTATTGGGTGCATATTCATGCTCCTGAGGTTCATCCTTGTTTTCTCCTCACTGGTATATCCCATAAATACCTTCCTGTTACCCTACCTTGCATTTCCTCCCCTTCTTCTGAATACTCACCACCACTTCTACTCTATATCTTGCAAAATCCCATAGAAACAGAACACTTAGTAAGACTCCTCTCTGCAGAATATACCAAAAAAAGCTTAAGAGTCTCCTCCATGGTTCCCCAAATCTACCGGCTGGATCATACCACTGTGTCATTACCTAAGACAGGTACTTGGTTTGACCACATACCCTCTTTTGCCTGTAAACAGCTCCTTGAATTTTCATAACCTCTCAGGATAATTATGTGCCCCTTCAGGCTGTGTTTTTGGCTGCAACTACGTCATCCAAAAAGATTTTTTCTACCCCTGCCTCAGGTCCCGAGAAAACACAGGCATTTACTTTCCGGGTCAAGTCGTTGCTCCTGTCACCATTATTAATTCTGTAACTCAGGGAATATAGACTCTACATCCCAGGGCCAAAAGAGCTCTACCAATAACTGATGACTATGCTGGTGAGAACCCCTCAGATTATAAAGATGGTAGCTGTGGATACCCTCAAGGATGTGATTTACCTGGTGGGCTTAACCCTGGTGAAGGATCTAAATGGGAAAGGATTCTCGGGTCCTGGCTTGGGCTAGACCCTGCTTAGAATGAATATAGGATCAGAAACCTTTCCTGCAGTTAGCAGAATTGCCCACTCCACTGCCTCTACCATCAGGGCACAACAGAGATTTCTAGATTCCCTTGCCCATGTGATCCTGCACAACCACATTGCATTAGACTGTCTCCTCATGGCATGTGGTGGTGTTTATGCTGTCACTAACACTTCCTGTTGCACCTGGGTAAATACTTCCAGTCAGGTTGAATTGGAAACATCTGAGATCCAAAGTTGGCCAAATCCTACAGCTGGCCGTCTGAAAAGGACACCTTCAGAAAGCCTCCTGGCTGGGCTTACTGCATTAGAATGCCAATTTCCAGATATTTTCATCCGTCTTCTTCTGGTATAGGATTCCTTCTGTGTTCTATCCTACAAATCGTAGTGAATCTCCTTGGACTAAGCACTTGGCTCCCCTTTAAAATCGTTCTAGTCTGCTTTAACAGATGCCTGCAAGAGACCCTCACCAGGATCGTGCTGACCCAACACCTTGAGACTTTAGACTCGTTCCAGCTGGAAACTGAAGCCAAGTTAAGCCAAGAGATGTTAATTCAAATTTAACGGGTGCCTGAGTGCCTCTCATAAGTAAATGGCTCTAGTTGCTCAGTCGGTCACTGCATTGTCAAAGGATTTCTGCACGGGACTAGAAGAATCTGGAACAGGTTGCCAGCCACTCTAGCAGGATGATGGGATGCAACCAACCTAATCAATCATCAGTGCTATCTGATAGCACTATTGATAAACAGGGAGGGGGGTGGATTTGAACCTTGAAAGAACCAGTCCCTCAGATGAATCCTGAGTGGTTAATAGCCTAAATTCAAGAGCCAAGTGGCCATTTGCTTACTAGAGGTCACACACATACTAGGAGTTCCTGGAAAACCTGCATCTCTGCTTAACTTAGGGGCTTTCATAGCTGCCTGTTCATGTTTGTGCTGCCTGAGCCAACCAATAGGCTGTGACCTATGTCAACCAATCAGAACTCAGCAAATGTTGATCAATCAGAACTCACCAAACATCAACCGGTCAGAACTAAGCAAGCCTGAATCCTTTATTTGACTAAGTGGACCTGAGTGGGAACCTGGATGGGATCTTTCACTATAAAAGAAAAACCTTTCGTTTGTTTTCTGGGACGTACCTTCATTTTACACTGAAGGCTGTGTCTCTTCAGTTTGCCAACTGTTAGGGGAATAAAGTCTCTTTCCTGTAAATTCCCTTTCAGAAAACTTTTGTTCACAGGATAATAGTCATACCCATCCCATTGGTCCAAGCTGAGGATTAGCTGCGTCGAATCATGTAAAACAGTTCATTTAGGTAGGTGCTCAGGACTTGTTGGCTGTGATTTTGATAATGATCACAGCAGCGATGCTAATGACAACTCCTTTGTGTCATCCTACTGTACCATACTTCCACGTCACACCTGAAGTCTAATGGGTAATACTATACATTCGTTCATTCTCATATATGCACCTAAGGATGGTATGGCTTTGCTCTTTTATCCTGCCGCGCTTTTTCTCAGCTCCTTGAAATTGGATCCACTGGTATGCCCCACTTTCTGGTTGAGGCTGAATCCAAACTCTAATACCTATATCACTCTGGGCTGTATTATGGGTTGCATTGTGTCCCCCCTCCCCAAATTCATACATTGAAGTCCTAACCCCCATGACCTCAGAATGTGACCTTGTCTGAATATAGGGTTACTGTAAATATAGGGTTAATTCATTAATGTGATGAATAAAGTTAAAATAAGGTCATACTGAAATAGGGTGGGCCATTAATCCAAATATGACAGGTGTTCTTATGAGAAAGTGGAATTTGGACATGAAGACAGAACACACACACACACACTCAGAGAGAGACAAAGAGAGAGAGAAAGAGAGAGAGACGGAGAGAGAGAGAAAAAGAGAGAGAGAGAGAGAGAGAGAGAGAGAGCAATCACGTGAAGATTGCAGTTATGCTGCCACAAGCCAAGGAACTACCAGAATCTAGGAGAGGTGCCTGCAACAGATCCTTCTCTAGCACCTTCAGAGGGAGCATGGCTCTTCTGACACCTTGATCTTGAACTTCTAGCCTCCAGAACGGTGAGACGATAAATTGCTGTTGTTTATATGCTCTGTTTGTGGTACTTTGTTACAGCAGCTGTAGGAAACTAACACAGGGTGTAATGAATTGATGACTCTGGGCACAGTTCCCAGGGGTTTGGTTGCAATGGCTGGGCTCCCTGAGTTACCCCCAAGTCTCTCGTTGCCAGGAATCCTAGAGCTTGGACCCTAGAGAGATCCCCCAGTGTCCCATGTTGGCTTTTTCTGAACTCATTGAGGGCAGATGGGTTACTTGCCTAACATCTAGTTTCTCCTGGTAAGATTGAAGCCTCACCTATCCTCAGCTTAAGTGATGCTTCCTGAAACCAGACCCTGCTTGGGCGTCTGAAAGGCAGAGCCTCTTGTGTATGTGAAATGTGATTGTCTGTTGCTGGGCTTCTAGGTGCAAAACCTCTGCCCGGCTTCCACACGTGCCCACCCACACTCTGTGCCCATGCCTGCCCATCAGACTTGTACACTGACCACTTCGGAAATGAGTGCCTGGCTTGCCCTTATGGACACTGTTTGGATCACTTGTTGCTCTGTTCGGGCCCAGCAGTGTCACTTCTGCCAGGCCCCAGCTTGGAGCTCCCTGAGCTCTGATTTCATTGCTGAGCAACCTGTAACAGTTCCCTCAGGAGTTCACAGAAAACAATTATGACCTCAGATAAATAAAATATTCTGCTTAATAATAAACTGGATCTTTTAACTGTTAAAAATATTCATTGTAGAAAAATCAGGAGAAAAAAAAAAGAAAACTAATGACTTATAATCACATTACTTAGAGACACTGTTACTATTTTGGTTTATGTTCTAGAACTTTTTCTCATTTCACTCATTGTTTAGTTACTTGATTTTTATTTTATCAAAGTAATATCAACACAGAGTTGGAAAAACTCAAATAGTTCTAACAGGCTTTTGTAAAATGCAATGGTTCCATCTCTCCCTTCCCCAATCCCTCCACATTTCTCTTCCACTCTAAGGACAAGCACTTTCAATTATTTTATCTGTCTCTTCTGGCCCTTACACATCTAATTGTTTCCAAAATTTAGACATTATCTACTGACTTCCTATTGTAGCAAATGAAGATTTAGCTTTCTTACAATGTCTCCGTCTCTGAATCCCTTTCCTTATCCTGCCAACATAGTCATTCCACATTATTGGAGACAATATTCAGAATATTAATATACGTATACAAATAATCTTCACAGCTGAAGGTTGGAGTGTGACATTTCCTTCTTTTTGTTTCTTTTCCTGAAAGTAACAATGGCCCATGTCTTTAGTTAGTTTTCTTTGTGCTCATTGCTCATTCTTTGCACACATCTCACAGCCCACAGTGTAATTTTCCTCGAGCTGACTTGCATCAGGGAATCCATTAATCCCATTTTTCTTCCCTGAAGCCATCCCTTAGAAGCTTCCATTCTCTTCCCTGTGCTGCCAGCTTCCTGGGATCCCTGGGCAGCTCTAATCCTGGGATTTCTGTTTGCTCTAATTCTTGGAATTCCCCTTATCTTTGTCCTGTGCTGTATTTCTGTTTTTCTGGATCTCATGCCTTTTTTTCTTTTGTACAGGTAATGCCATTGTGAACATTAATGTTTATGTCTTTTCGTGTACATGTGTGTGCTTTTCTGTTGGGTTGATATGTAGAAAGGGGATTTCTGGGTCTTAGGGGATGGGTTTTTCCAGTTTTAGTTGATACTGCCAGTTTTCCAAAGTAACTGCACCAATTTATGCTCCTACTGGCAGTTTCATTGGCCCCACATCCTCACCAGTACTTGATATTTTTGGTTTTAAAATATGAGCCATTCTAATTGGGTGCATATTGTTATTTCATTGCAATTTTAATTTGCATCTCTTGATGACTTATGATGATATATGTTTCTGGTCATTTGTATATCTTGTTCAGAGAGTGCCTATTTAAGTTTCTGTCCATTTTTCTATTGGCTTATCTGTCATTTTCTTACTAATTAATAATTGTTTTTTCTGGATAAAAATTTTAAAAATCAGATACATCATTGTAAATATTTTTCTGCCTTTTGATGACATGCTTTTTCACAATGTACACAAATTCTTCACTTTTCTAATTCATTAATCTTTTCCTTTAGGGATGATTTTTAAACATGTCTTATTTAATAAGTCTTTGTCTACTCAAGGGTCATGAAGATATCTCCTTATTTTATTTTTAAGAAGCTTTATTTGTGTTACCTCTGAGATTTAGATTTACCAGATTTTAAAAAATTCTCCCTGGGCCTGATTTTGTGTATGGTGTGAGGTAGTGGCCCAGGTTGATCTTTTTCCATAAATATATGCAATATTAAAGAGTTTGTAAATGATTGACATTGCTTCTTCCTAATTAGTCTGGAAGACTTCACTGATGTATTTTCTGGAGTTTTCATTTCATTGTATTCTGCCATTGTTGGAATAGTATTCTGTAGGTGCCAATCTGGTCATGTTAATTGTGTTGTTTAGAGCATCTACATTTTTACTGATTGTATTTTTGTCTGCATGTTCTACTAGTTTCAGAGACTGTGTCAAAATCTCCTACTTTTTTTTTTTTTTTTGCTTAGTTTTATTTCTTTTTTAGTTTCAACAATTTGCATTTGTGTATTTTTTTGGTTTCACTAATTTCTTCTTTATGTATTTTGAAGCTATGTTATTGGATGCATATGATTTAGAATTGGTAGAAGTGATATCTTCATGGTGATCCGAGCACTTCTTCATTACATTGTGATCCTCCTCATTTCTTGTGGTGTTTCTTGCTTTAAAGTTGACTTTGATTGTAACATAACTACAAGGCACTCTTGAAAACAGTATGTAGTTCACATAGTGATGGTAGAAGCATAAAAGGCAAGATCGTAACTGCCCAATGGGCTCACCTTGCCTGCTGCCTAGACTGAGCCAATGTATCAAGACAGGGGAATTGCAATAGAGAAAGAGTTATTCACACAGAGCCGGCTGTATGGGAGAACAGAGTTTTATTATTACTCAAATCAGTCTCCCTGAGCATTTGGGGAGCAGAGTTTTTAAGGACAACTTGGTGGGTGTGTGGGAAGCCAGTGAGTCAGGAGTGCTGATTGGTCAGAGATGAAATCATAGGGAGTTGAAGCTGTCTTCTTGTGATGAGTCAGTTCCTGGATAAGGGGCCGCAAGATCAGATGAACCAGTTTATTGATCTAAGTGGTGCCATCAAGTGCAGGGTCTGCAAAATATCTCAAGCATTGATCTTAGGAGCAATTTAGGGCGGGTCAGAATCTTGTAGCTTCCAGCTGCATGATTCCTAAATGATAGTTTCTAATCTTATGGCTACTCTCAGTCCTACAAAAGCAATCTAGTCCCCAGGCAAAAAGAAGGTCTGCTTTGGGAAAGGGCTCTTATGATCTTTATTTTAAACTATAAACTAAGTTTCTCCCAAAGTTAGTTCAGCCTACACCCAGAATGAACAAGCACAGCTTGCAGGTTAGAAGAAGATGGAGTTGGTTAAATTAGATCTCTTTTGCTGTCTCAGTCATAATTTTGCAAAGGTGGTGTCAAGATCAGTTATGAGTTTTAAGCCTCTAGTCACATCACATCTACCTATAACTGATTGGCCAAAGCAAGCCACATGGCTGAGTTGAAAATCAAGGAGCAGGGAAATGTACTTCTCCTCAAGTGTGAGGATGTTCAGTTACATAAGAAAGGGAGTGAGGAAGAATCAGCCCTTATTTCAAGCATCTCTGTTGTTCTTATCTTGTAAGATTAAAAAAATTTTTAACTACTCATTTCCTGGGATTGTGGAAGGAGGAAGAATTATATATCCAATCTCTCATTTTAACTCAAAATATTACTTTTTTCTTGAGAGATTCTCATCTACTAATGTCATTATGTGATGCACTTCAAATGTCAAGTTTTATCTCTATTAGTTTTCTATTGCCATGTAACAAATCACCACAAATTTAGCATCTTTAAACAATATGCGTTTATAAATTCACTATTTTCATGAGTCAGGAGTCTGAGCACAGCTCCTCTGGATGTTTGCATAGGGTGTTGGCCAATATGCATTCTCATGTGGTGCATGTTGTTCTCTTCTAAGTTCACGTGCTTGCTGGAAGATCAGTTCCGTCATATCTTAGGACAAGGCCCAGCTTGGATAC